TCAATTTGATAAGAAAAAAATTTAAAAAGATGTTGAAAAAGAAATTATGGTTGAGCAATCTACTGAAAATTCAAAGGAAGAAAAATCACAATTAAAATTTGCTCCCACACTTCCACCATCTTTTCCTCAAAGATTTCAGAAAAAAAAAACTTGATAAACAATTTTAGAGATTTATTGATGTATTTAAAAAGTTACATATTAACATTCCATTTGATGAAACTCTAGAACAAATGCCAAGATATGTTAAATTTTGAAGACATTTTGTCTGAAAAAAAGAAATTAGGTGAGTTTGAAATAGTTGCACTTATAGAAGAACGCAGTGCCATCTTTCAAAAAAAGCTTCCACCAAAGCTTAACGATTTAGGTAGTTTTACTACTCTTGGCACTATTGGTGCTCTTTGTTTTGCTAAAGCTCTATGTGATTTGGGTGTCAGTATAAATTTGATTCCATTGTTCATTGATAAAAAATTGGGTTTAGAAGAGCTTAAGCCAACTTCTGTGACTTTACAACTTGCAGATCGATCCATCACCTATCCTTATGGTATTGTGGAATATGTTTTGGTAAAAGTTGATAAGTTTATTTTTCCAATGGATTTTATTATTCTTGATATGGAAGAAGATCGTGAAATACTGATCATTCGTAGGAGACCATTCTTAGGAACAGCTTGAGCTCTAATTAATGTGAAAAAACTTAGCTTACTTTAAGGGTTGAAGATCAATAAGTAACATTTAGTATTTTAAGAGCTTTAAAATTTTCCAATGAACATGATGAATGTTTTTCCATTAATGTGGTGGATGACATAACTAATAATGTGTTTATAGAGAATCATCATGATCCACTAGAAACTTCTTTGAATTCTTCATGTGATATTATATATGAAAACGTTCTTGAATATGCTAACCATCTTGATGCCCCATCACGTCTCTCAAACTCTCAATTTGAGTCTTTGGAATTATCAATTACAACTTCATCAATTAAACCTTCCATTGAAGAACCTTTTTCACTTTAGCTCAAACAATTGTTTAATCATTTAAGCTATGTTTTTTTGGGAAATTCTTCTACATTACCAGTAATTATTTCTTCTTCTCTTTTTAATAAATAGGAAAATAAACTCCTTCTAGTTTTAAGAGACTGCTAAAAAGCAATTGGGTGGACCATTGCAAACATCAAAGGAATTAGTCCATCAATTTGCATGCATAAAATTCTTTTGGAAGAAAATCACAAAGCAACCATTGAGCATTAACGAAGGCTAAATTTGAACTTGAAAAAGGTAGTAAAGAAAAAATTATCAAGTGGCTAGATGTAGGTGTTATCTATCTTATTTTTGATAGTTCATGGGTATGTTCAGTCCAATGTGTCCCTAAGAAAGGAGGTATGACTGTAGTTTCTAACAAAAATAATGAGCTCATTCCTACTAGAACTGTGATTGGATAGAGAGTATGTATGGACTATAGAAAATTGAACAAACCCACTAGAAAAGATCACTTTCCACTACCTTTTCTTGATCAAATGCTTGATAGACAAGTAGGCAAAGATTTTCATTGCTTTTTAGATGGTTATACTGTTCATAATCAAATTGCCATTGCACCTAAAGAGCAAGAAAGAACCACCTTTACTTGTCTTTATGGAACTTTTGCTTTTCGTAGATTGCTTTTTGGACTTTGTAATGCTTTAGCCACTTTTAGAGATATAGATGGTAATTTTTTCTAATATGGTTGAAAAGTTTATGGAAGTATTTATGGATGATTTTTTTGTTTTCGGGAATAATTTTGATGATTGTTTATTTAATCTTGCTAGAGTATTTAAGAGATGTGAAGAAACTAATTTAGTTTTAAATTGGAAAACATGTCACTTTATGATACAAGAAGGCATAGTCTTAGGCAATCGAGTCTCTAGTAAAGGTTTAGAAATAGACAAAGTCAAAATTGAAACGCTTGAAAAACTTTCACTTTCGACCTTGGTTAAGGGTATTTGTAGTTTTTTAAGACATGTTGGATTTTATAGGAGATTCATTAGAGATTTTTTTAAAATTTCTAAACCACTTTGTAATTTGTTAGAAAAGGATATTCCTTTTAATTTTGTGATGCTTGCCACGATGCCTTTGTTGAATTGAAGAAAAGATTAATTTTTGCTCCTACTTTCATTGTTTTTGATTGGAATCTTCGCTTTGAACTAATGTGTGATGCTAGTGATTGTGTAGTTAGCGCATCCTTGGGCCAACAAAAAGCGAAGAGTTTGCATCTCATTTATTATGCTAGCAAAACATTGAATGAGGCTCACACAAATTACACCATAACTGAAAATGAGTTGCTTGCAATTGTTTTTGCTTTTGATAAATTTCGAGGAGGAGCTAGTGTGTATGGGCCTAATTTGGTTCCTTAGTGCCTTGTAAGCGTAATTGGAAAAGATGAAGAAAAAGGCCCAACGAGGTCTCATGTATGTGGATGTCTTAGTGAATGATAAGAAGATGAAACCATGCTTAACACAGGGGCCTTCAATACTTTCATCACTCCAGGTGAGGCAAAGAAATATGGTCTCAAGGTAGAGAAAGACTTTGGGTAGATGAAAGCAGTCAACTCTAAGGTTTAGTCATTTTGAGAGCTCTAAAGATGTCATTTTGAGGGGAAGGTGAACATGAATATGGCCATGATCAATGAGTTTGATTTTGTTTTGGGTTTGGACTTTATGACTAAAATAGCATTGGAATGGACTTTGAGAAAGACAGAGAGGTTTAATTGATTAACACAAGATTTTAATTGATTAAAACAACATTGGAATGCACATTGAGACAAACAAAAGGATTTTAATTGATTAATGTAAGGTTAATCGATTAAAATGGTACTAGAGGACATTGCAGTAGATTTTAATCAATTAACCATATGGTTTAATTAATTAAAATTCAAACAAAAAGTACCTAAGTGCCAAAAATTGAAGATTCAAATTTCAAGTAACTTTTGAAAGGTGCTAAGTGAAGAAGTTTGAACCCAAGGGATTTTAATAGATCACAATTCTGTTTAATCTATCAAGAAGAAGCAAAGAGCTTTTAACTGATCAAAGACAAGTTTAACTGATTAACTTGAAGCAATTGGGACAAATGGAATAGTTCTAATCGGTTAAAATCAATTTTAATCAATTAACTTGAAGAAGTAGGAAGATAGATATAAAGATTTTAATCGGTTAAAATCTATTTTAATCGATTAAAAGCCTAGACAGACTTGAATTTCAAGCTGTTATAATACAAAAAAAAAAGGCAAACCAACTTCAAACTATGTCCAACAGTCTGATTTCACTTTTCATGAATAAAATGGGGTTCAAATTGTTATAAATGCATGAGTGAAGCTTTTAAGAGTTTGAGCTAAGAAGAGCCAAAAACTTCTCTTTTCAAGTGTATTCCACTCCTATTCTTTGAGAAATTCTTTAAGCTGAAACTTGTACACTTTAGATTAGCTAGGTGATCAATTGTACTTCATCTTAGTCTTGTTTCTTGTTTACTTATAGTGTGCGGAGCATTCTAAGAGGTAGACTAAGCTTAGCAAAGTTGATGGTTTGTTGTAAGAGTTTGGAGTTTAGGCTAGAAGTTCATCTTATAAAAGCTTGATGAAAGTTGTTAATTTCACTGATTTTTAATGAAGTAGGTGAAAATCTTAGATTATAAAGATTAAAGTAGTAGATATAGGTCAAGGGGACTAAATCACTATAAATATTGTGTTTTATCTACTTTTCTTCACCATCTCTTTACTTGGTGCTATTTAACCTCAAAAAGTTTTAAGCTTTCCATATCAAATCTGTTAAAAAGGTTTTTAAACTCAAAGAATTACCTTCAAAACTTTTTTAAGTGCTATTTACCCCCCATTTAGCACTCCTTTTAGGACCAACATTATGGAGCAACTACATAGGTTATTTGATTTAGAAATCTCATTAAAGAGTTATCAATCATTGACTTTATTTCTAGATATGTACAGTTGTATTGTAATAATGTTGCAATAGTTATGTACACTAATGACAATAGAGGTATCACAAGGACGAAACATATAAAGATAATAAAATATTTAACAGTTAAAAAATTTGTGAAAAAAGAATGACATTTAAGTTGAGTATATTCAGGTTGATGATATGAAAACTGTTAAAACGAATGACATTTAAAATATTTTATGTTATTTTAGCTCATAAATTTTTTTAATAATTTTTTTTAAAAATTTTGAATATAGATAATATAATCTAAGTGAGAGACCAAATTAACTTATTAGATTATAAGGAGGAGCAAGATTCTAGCATTACCTATTGGAGAGTTATAAATTGAGCAGGAAAAGGATCCTAGCATATTAAATCCCAATAATTAATTTGACTAGTATTGTTTGCATCAAATCATATATAAAAAATTATATATATATTTTTAAATATAACTATGATGAATTTTGAATTAGAACCTTATATTGAATTGAATATCAATCATTTAAAAGGAAAAACAGACAATTCCAACTTGTACAGCAAAAGGTTATCAAATAATGCCAGCTAGGACCAAAGCGGACACAGCTGTGACCACTCAGGCCCTTTTTTACAGTTTTACTACGTATAACAATAATCTCTGCTGCAATCCCCTAAAAACAGTACAAGAAAGTTAAAAACAAATAATAAAAATTAAAAAAAAAAAGATAATAGAGAAAGAGTAAATCCTCAAAGTCAATCTCCTGGCCTTCCGTTTTCCACGTAATCCCTCAACAACTTAAAAACACGTCGACTTCCAATGGAACTGAAAGAGGGACAAATGACAAAATCCCACGTGCTCTTCCCGCACCTTATCCACGTGTCCGATGCCAATCTCTGCTCCATGTTCCCCTTCCCTCGCACGTGCCGGATCCCCACACACTAGCCTCCTGTCCATCTACGTGGCCAAATATTGATACGTGGCAGTCTCAGACGCATCCTCAGGGCGCCGCAGGGACTTGTAAGAAACCTTTCTTTCCTTTCAAAGAAGTTAACAGTGTTCAGTTCTGTTCATCTCTTTTGGATTTTTTTTTTTATTTTTTGAATTTCGTTTTCTTGCTTCGGGATGGATTTGGAGAGAGGTTTAGCTTCGAGTTCGTCGGCGTCGACACCTGGAGAGGCGGCGGAGGGTGCGGAGGAGGTGACGGCTGATCGGATGGAGATGGAGGCGGCGGAGATATTGGCCGCCTTGGCGCATTCGAAGAAGCGGGATGCTGTTGCCGTCGCCGTGGAATTTTCCGCCAAATGGGGATGCAAAGGGAAGCGAGTGAGCAGGCGAGTCAGTAGTAGTGAGTCACCGCCTTCTGAAATCGGTTTGAACCCGGTTGACCCGGTTCAATCAAGTTCGGATCTCGCTGAGGTTGGTTTTAACCGGTGAATCACTCTAATGTTGTCCTCATTTTCGATTTAATTATTTTTTCCATTTGAAGAAAAAACAATTCTACATTTTTTTCGTTTCAGTGGCTTTTACTGTGTCGGTCCGAAATTAGAAATCCAAATTATTTTTTTGAAAGTAATTCACATTATTGAAAATGTAGAAATAATATATGGCAAAAAGGTTCTTTTTGGGTGCTAATAAATTAATTTGAAACTTTTTTTAATTATAATGCTGAATTTAATTTAATAAAAATGAAGTTTTCGTTTTGTGAATGATGGACATGTCTATTTTGAATTCTATTGTAAAAGAAAAATTCTATTTCTGGTATTTCAGTTAAAGAGATATAACCACCCAAAATAGCTTCTTGAGTTTCTTGCAACCTGTTAAATTTTATATGATATCGATGCAAATAGGTTATGCAAGAATTTAAAGATAGTACTAACAAATTTCTTAATGTTGAAGATTTTTTCAGCATTTATTTCATTTTTCTATTTCTGGGATTTGTAGGAATTGGGGAACATGGCAAAGTTAAAAGATGCTAGATGAACTGGGGAGAAACTGATGACTACAGAAAGTTTTTTAATATTAGGAAATTTAAGAATATAAATTATAATAACTTATCTGGAAAATGTGGTCCGCTAAACTAGTTGTGTCTTAATTGAACTTGTTTAGCGATCTGTCACCAAGACACACTATTCTGTGCAGGACTTGAAAACTATTTTTGTTTGTAGCAGGATCGAGCTGCAGTAGACCAGCAGCAAAGTCAAGTGACAAGCACACCTGTAATTATTGATTCAATAGAAGCTGAGCAGGACTCTGAGTTGCTTAACGGGACTCATCCTTGTGCTGCAAGATACACATCCAAGTGTGTGGTGAAGTCGAGACAGAATGTAAATCGAGATAGATAACTTCTTTACTGTTATGCTTTATAAATGCTTCTATTTTTGACTGAAGGTTTTTTGATCAGGCTGAAAAGGAGACACTTAGGTTACATAGAATGTTCACAAATAAGGAGTCAGATTGGCAGATGATTCGTGAAAGGCAGGTCGGATGTGTTTGCTTGATTCATTACATTTTGATGTATATGTTTACGTTCCGATTTTGTTAATTTACTTAATACTGTTTGCTCATTTTAACTATAGATATTATTCAGCATAATGGGAATGCCTGAGAAAGATGTTTGGGAGGATGGGCAGCATGATCAAATGACAGGCAACGATTTACTTATAAAATCAGTCAAGGCTGAGCGGAATGCTGAATCGGTTAAATCAAGTCCTACATGTGCCACAAAATACACGTCAGGTGGTGGGGGCAGGTCAAGACAGAATTTAACTGAGGTAGAGTGACTTTTTATTTGACTTTCATGCTTTGTGATTGGTCCTTAGATTTCAAGCCTTTTCATCAGGCTGAAAAGGAAGCACGAAGATTACGTAGAATATTAGCAAACAGGGAGTCGGCAAGGCAGACGATTCGCCGAAGGCAGGTAATTGATTTATTACATGTTAAGTTGTTATGCTTGCTTTTAGATTATAAGTGACATGGTTGGTCAGTCTCCATTTGTTTTAATTGTATCTTTCTATCGCTTTGATTCTAAGGTTTTTCCTGTCTGACAAGAACTGTTTCTGGAAGATATTTTGGGTAGAGCCTTATCCGTTTCCAACTTTCTTTGCTTTTTCATCTAATTGAAAACCTTGGCTTTTGGCTACAATTATGCTGCTAGGTAACTGCAAACCATCTTTTTGTTGTACATATTTAGATTATTTTTGTCTATAATAATTGTTCTGTTAAGTCATTAAATTTGGCTCATCGTTAAACTCATAACAACATTGCTGGCAACCTCGTCCTTGTTTGCAAGTTCTACAATACACCTCTACACTCTTAGGGAGCTGCATGTGCATCAGTAAACTGTCAGTGGGATCTGGTTGAATTGTGTATGAAAAACAAGGAAATCAACTAAAGGTTGATCCATAAACCCATATGACATGGCATCTTTTTTGCATTCTCTAACACAACCTACATATAGAGGATGCCTGATTATCGTGTAGAGATAACAATTGATAGCAAACAGTTCCTAATTCTATATTGGATGCTTCAAAATGCATTAATTTCTTTTGTCGGTCAGAACATTAGATTGTGAACACTTTCTGATCTGCCTTACGTCAGTTTCAGCAAGTGATTACTTGTACAAAAAGTCAAATGGCTCCAAAATACACTTTTACTGTCCTGAGATCTTGGGATTCAGAAAATCAGACCTGAGATATTTACCTAGTACCGAACATATATGTTCAAGTCCATACTGCGTTCTGTAAAAAATTTATCTTTTATTGATGTGTGAAAGCAACATGTTGATGTCTCCGAGATTGGAAATAATATTTTGTCTTCATTGCTTGGGTCAACATGTCCTAGTTGCTATGTATTATGTATTTTTAGTAAGCAAGTCACCGGTTTTGAATATTGAACTTTCAGCATACTTTTCTGCTTTAGTTTTGATTGCTCTCCAACTGATTATTGGCTAACGACTCTTGGGCACGTATGCTGTACTTTCATTCAGGCTCTCTGTGAAAAGTTGACCCTAAAAGTCGCTGATCTAACTCGGGAGAATGAAAATTTGAAGAGGGTAAGTGGGACTTCTTCCATATAATTATCTCAATTATGCAATAAGGCCTTATAGCTATTTTACTTTTACTTGACCTTTTGAAATTAAAGAACACATCTGGTCTTCTAGTAGTTTACAAAAAATACTCAGAAGAATAGGTCATTGCTCTTTTAATTTTTGGTTGTTATTGAACTTATGTTAACATCACATGGTAGCTTATTCACTTTGATTGCATTCCTACTGAGAAGGCAAAGGAGTTGGCCCTGAAAGAGTACAAGTCTCAAGAGAGCACAAATAAGCACCTGAAGGCACAGGTAACATAACTTTTAATCTTGAATGTACTTTACCTATTTGGCAAATTACTTTTGAATCCTGAAAATATGTTACCTCTTTGGCATGCTATGTTTTTCTGCAGATGGTGAAGGCAATAAAAGCTGAGGAAGGGCAAGCTCCTAGAGAGCTTAAGTTAGCCCATCAGACTTCTGGTCCATCTAGGAACTATCCATTTTACTTTTATAACCAACATCCTTTTTCCCCTTTCTGTTGGCCTTCCATTGTTCAGTCTTCAAATCCAGTTCAAACACAATGCGGGCACCAAATTCCCATTGTTGTTCCATCAAGCGTTTCCGCACCAACTAATGGTAGGCTTGATTCTTCTCATGATCAAGAAAATCCCATTAACAATAATGGCCCCAAGTCTCCCTTATATGTAGTGCCTTACCCTTGGTTCTTTTCTCTTCCTGATCATGGGAATGAACTGCATCCTCAGCCTTCTTTTGGCCCAAAAAATAACAAAGACGAAACTTCTGCGAATAATCGATTGTGTTCTTTGAAATCTGTTGTGCATGAGGAGAAATATAATTTCTCTTTACCAACAGAAGTTGAAAAAGAGGCTTATGGCTCAATTGAAGCCAGTTCTAATAACCAGAATTGTACTTCAGTAAGGCTTCCTTCAGATGGAAGTGGTCAGTGTATAAGATACCAGATTAAAGAAGAGGTCATTCTGCCTACACCTCTATGTTCTGCAGGGGCTACATTTGTTGTTGAACAGGACAAAATGCCAGATGTCAATACTGAGGCAGCTCGAGTAAGAGCCTGTCACTTTGTAGGTGCTTTGCAAGAGGAGAATCAAGAATCAACAAATTATACGAGTAAGAAAGTACTGGATGCAGCTGCTGCAGCTGAGGCAAGAAAGAGGAGGAAAGAACTTACAAAGCTAAAGAACCTCCATGGCCGACAATGTCGGACTCACCGTTGAGCTTTAAGCAAAAATTTGGACAGTTGTTGTGATTTAAGGGAGTCCTTGAAGCTTGAACACAGCGAAGATATATGTATACAAATTTAAAAGCACGGAAGGCCTGCAAAGGGAGAAAGCCAAAATTATGATTGCATGCACGTCTCTGAGGTCCATTTTCAAGGCTAGAGGCGCTTTTTAAGGCTTTTCCATTTCCCATTTTGGGGGTAGGATACAAGGACACTGATTCATTGTCCTGTTTTTTGTTTTTTTTTAGCTTAACAGACTGAATGATCTCCCATTATTTTTTTATTTTGTTTTTGCTTAAGCGGCAGGAAATTTTAGATGGGAGATGGAACCTTTTTTTTCCCTATTTCATAGGCTTAACTTGGAAGAGGGCTGTGAAATAGTTTGCATTTGTTGCAAATGTAGCTGATGACTTGTAACTATATGCTGCAAGTTTTTCACCCTCTTGCGGACAAAAGGACATGTACGACTTTGAGATGTTGAAAATCTTTGGTTGACCTCCCGTCCTATTCAAATTATTTTCCCTCTTCAGTTTTGCACAATGATGCATAGTGTTGCTCACATCAAAACGTGCAGGACTCCTGTTGCTCTTAAAAATATTTCCAACTGTCATTGAGATTACGCTATCATTTTACTATGGGAACTGAGGCAAAGTATAGTTCTAATATACCCAGAAGGAAAAATGGGAATCGATTGGAATACTAGCTTGCTACTTGGTGAGTCAATTCTAACTATAAGCATTGAGTAACGCCAAAATCAGAAAACTGATTGTTATTTATAGACAAGAATAGGGCTCTTAACACTGTGCTCTTTGTTACTCCACTCAAGGGTAGCCGACAGGATCTCTGTCCCATTCTTCATTAAGCCGCCCTTTACCAAAACCTTGAAAGATTGCTTCTGATGCGTCTTATTGAATTTCAACGTGTTTGGGATAACTGTAATAGAAAGTCCCTTCGGAGACGTCACCTTTGCCTTGAATTCGGAGTTTCCATATGCAACATGAGTCACAGTCCTGTAAAACACTGCGAAAATCCTAGATTCTCTACTATTGAGGTGGACGTGCATGGAAGGGTAGTTGAGCCCGTCAGTGCCTCGTGCAGGTTTAAAGCTTGAGCAGTCAAATTTTTGCTTGCCACCGATGAGTAGGCCAATGGTCGTGCTATTGTACCCTTCTTTGCAAAGGAAGCTAATATAAGATCTCTCGTCAATGTCGTAGATGAGGCCAGGTTGGATAGCTCTAATTGGATTTATTTGGCCTGATCCAGAGCTTAGTTCCCCAAACTTGTCTCTGATTTTCATGGGTGTTGCTATAACAAGAAATGAAATGTTAATTGGATTGTAAATGAATATTCTGTCTGTCATTTGACAGATTTGAGAATTGAGCGTCTATCTATTCGCTCGATGTGTTTTGGAAGTTTTACCAGTAGTCATGAGAGCAGACTTGATTGCTGCTGGTGACCAGTCTGGGTGCATGGACTTGACATAGGCTGCAGCAGCTGAAGCATGAGGGCAAGCCATAGATGTCCCCGACATGAAGTTAAACGCAGAATAGCGTTTGTCACTTGGTTCTCCTGTAATTGATCTCAGGTTTGTGTAGGCAGCCAATATGTTTAGTCCTGGAGCAGCAATATCGGGCTGGCCACGGAAGGCTCGAGTTAGAAAAGAAAGAGTGAAAAAGAGCAAGGGATAGGCCGACGAGGAGATTGTACCTTGAGAATGTTACGGTTGACTAATTGGGGTCCTCTGGAAGAGAAAGAAGCCACAAAGGGAGCAATCATTTTAACAGTTCTTGACTTGTATATGACAGCTTGAGGCTTCCTGACAGTATTGAGTTCGTGTGAACACCATCTATATAAGCTTTCTCATTGTCGAGTTTATCATAATTTTATTTTCTCGTTTGTCTTAGTTGAGCTTTATATACAAGGGAATGAAAGATTTCGTAGTAAAGGGATAATGAATCTAAAAGCAGACTTACTTTGTAGAGTTAATATACCGATCAAGCTTATCCCCATCCTTGGAGCGAACCACAGTGGCTGCAGGTGTAAGAGCGAGGAAGTAATAGTCTTGTGGTGCATCAGTAGCCATTATGGTTCCTGCCCCGCCCAGCAATTGGATTGTATAGTCCTGACTCGCCTCCCCTAGGCAATACACAATCTTTCCCTTTACCCTGTCTTGGCTCAGTGTGCCGTAATCGCAAGCACTTAAATCATGTTTAAACATAATCGAATTAGAGGCTTAATGCAATTAGGAAGACAAACAATGCCAGATTGGCCAGGTCCACATACCTAATATCTCTGTAGGTGTAATTTCCAGTAAGATTGGTTGCATGAGCTCCGTTAGTGAAAGGGTACATCTTGTTTTTCATTGAAAATGTGTTGATTCCGTTACCCTATATTGAGCGGCGTAGGAAATCATATTTAGTATGGTTATTATGCAAATGGCCAGTCGTTGCAAGCAGAAATTCACATAACAAAAAGAATTGAAAACGTACAGAAGTTGTTGTGCCATCGCCGAGCTTAATTTTTGACGTAAATTGCCTATCTATGCTGCTAGCAGCCACGGTCATGATCCACGGTGCAACATTTTGAACGGTTGCGAGCATAGGCCCGTCGTTCCCTCCAGCACACGATGTCAAAATCCCTTTTCTCATCGCATGGAAAGCACCTATAGCAATTGGATCATGGAAAAATTCCTTGGAAGGGCCGCCTATTGAAATGGATATCATGTCCACTCCATCGTGGATGGCATCATCATATGCAGCCAGTAAATCCATGTCACTGCATCCGCCACTCCAGCAAACTTTGTACATGGCTATACGTGCAGATGGCACGCCACCACGAGCAGTTCCTTTGGCTATTCCATACAAGCTGGAGTCCTTTACAGGTATGCCAGCAGCAGTGGAGGCAGTATGGGTGCCATGGCCGTCGGTGTCAACAGGAGTCGGATCCTCCGTTATAGGATAAGTGTTGTCCAGTTGATAGTACCTTGCACCAATGACTTTGCTGCCCACGTTAGAAAAGGTTAAACATCAAAATCCGATGCTGAAAGTTGTTCAGGATAGCTCATACAAATTCCAGGAAAACCAATTTTAATATAGTTGAAATTCCTAAATAAAAAGAAACTTTTCCTTGTCCAATGCTCCTAAATCTTTCATCAAATATGGTTCAACAATTTACAAGAAGATAGCAATTTTTTTCATAGTTTCTCAATTTTTTTATCCCATTTGATGTCATCAAATTCTCATTTGTCTGTTTTAAGTTGCAGAAATTACTTGTTGCAACCAGTGAAGTTGGCTCCTTTGTCACATTTACCCTTCCATTTTGCTGGTGGAGGTCCATAGCCTTTATCATTAAAACTGGGGGATTTCGGCCAAATACCTATAACCAACATCAAACAGTTTGTTTATTAAAGGGAAAAAGATAAGTGCGATCTAATTGGTGGAAGAACTTCCCATTTGGACGATGCCAAAACATGTTCTTTTACCAGTGTCCAATACACCAACTATGATATTGCTTTCTGCAATGGCGTTCCTTTTCTTTAACTTTTCATGCATTCCCAGAAAATCCCATGATCTTGTTGTAAGAAGTTTGCGCCTTGTGTTTTCAAATACTGATATAACACCATCTACACCTGTAAAAAGCAAATGTGAACTGCAAAGGCTGAAGTGGGAATGACAGAACCATTACAAATGAAAATTTCTTCTTTGAAATTTCTTATAGACCTGATAGTCTCTTTGCTTCATCTGGCAAAAGCCTTGCAGCAAACGCATTGATGCTCTTTCCATAGCTATATATTTTGGATTCTCTGGCTATATTCTCACTACAAGAAAAATATTGGTAAATATCATTTAGAACAGTCTGATCAATGGGATTATTTATTAGTAAAAAACATTTTTCAAAAAGAAAAGAATGAATAATATTACTCTCCAACTGCCTTCAAAAGCAGATTATGATGTGTATCCATGACGGAAATCCTGGCTTCATGATGTGGCGCTTCTCCCATGTACACAATATATGGCTGTTGTTATACATAAAACAAACTCAATCATTATAAAGAAAAATGATGAATGGTTGTTTGGGTCATGAAAACAGGTTTAGTTCCTATAAGACAGCAAGAGGTACCTTTCTTTCATTCTCAGTTGATCCTTGGACTAAGGTAGCAGCAAGACATAACCAACAGGCAAATGACAGAAGATTGTGCATCATTTTTACTGCAATATTTTGCATTTTCTATCTAAGGAAGAACACAAAAAATTCAACGTGAAAAGAGTGGCAGTTTACGCTATAAATAGAGGAGCAAAATAATGAGAGAGCTTCACTAGTACCAGTGCCATTTCCACGCATGCAAGGCCGCAAAGTGTGGTGAGTGATGAGAGTCAAATTTTGACCAAAGAGCGATATTCATGATCCATTGAATGATAGCTAGGAAGAATATGTTCTGTTTGAAGCGAGGTTTTATTGGCTTTTATTTGGGATCTGTATTACTAGATTTATTCCAAAACATGATGGTAAGAATTTCAAAGAGGACACTTTAATTGCTCGTCCTTGCACCCCCCCAACCCCAAGGACGCAATTCCATGGCTAATTTCCTAAAATTCTTTTATTTTTGGCCTATATTGTAATTTAATTTTACAAATGCTTATAATCTCCTCCTCCAAAGGTTAAATATAAATTTTTATATTTATATATATTTTTGTTAAGTTAGAGAACTTAAAAGGTTACCTAATTCTCACAGATTTATTTATTAGGTAACTGATCAATAATTATTTTTAATCATTTTAAATAGGTCAAATTCTGAATTTAATTCTTCTACTAGATAAAAATATTAATTTTAAACTTTATATTATTATTTATAGAAAATAAGTTGTTGTAGTTTTAAAAAATTTAAATGTTGGTCTAATCGTTATAAATGTTAAGATTTTTCCATTACAAGTATTGACTTGTGCTTAGGTGAAAATTTTGGATATTTTAAAAATAGAAAAAAAAATGTACCTGGATTTTTTTCAAGTTTTTAGAATTTGGTAAAGAATTTGACATGTGTTTCTTTGTTTTTTTTTTTTTCATTTTACTTTTCCTGATTTTAGTTTTACCCTTTTTTTTTCTTAATTTCTTTCCTCCATTACTGCCTGTTTTTCTCTCTCTCTCTGCCAACATTAATTGTCACTATTTAACAATTGATGTTTTAGGCTCTAGATTCACATGTCGTTTTTCATAATCAAACCTCAAATACTAATTTTTTTGAAAAACCTAATTAATATTATAATTTTCGTTAGAACATTTTGTCCAATCACTCTGAAAATTTTATAATTCATTCACTATGTTAAAATATAGCATTATAACAATGAAATCTGCCACAAAAACAAAGGAGCATATGGCTAACAATTTCACGTCCCAAAACTAAGAAAACTTGTATATAAAACTTAGCTATATATCAAGGACCATTTAAGGCCGTAATCGGCAACAAAGAGAGCAATTTTTGCAGGGGGGGATTTCAAACATTTTGTCTTCATTGATCGGGGTTTGTCATTAGAATTGGGAACCTAGCATTGTAAAATACTCCAATCTCCCAAGCATACAAACAGGGCATATATCCTACGAGGGTCGAGTGCAGCCCTCGTAGACAAAAAGCACTCCTGGAAACTGTTACAAGGACGCACGTGAAGACCTTGTGGGCAGAAATCTTGTTCTGTTTTTAATTTTGCACCTTGTTTTTCTCCTCTTGTTCGTTGGGGTTCGCCTGTTTAGGGCTTCCCAACTACCGACCTCCTTTTTATTGTTGTTGATAAACCTCACTCTTTCTGTCTCTTTCTTTCGTTTCCCCTGGTATTGATGAACTGTCTATCCTCTTTTCAACAGGAAGCAATTCTCTTTATGTATTACGGATAATTCTTCTTTTACACTCTTCCATCTAACGTTTCTCAATCACCAAAAATCATTGGGAGTCGATGTATATGTATATTGGATCTATATAGCTTGTCTGATTCTAACAGCAAAAGAAAATGTTAACATTAATAGATAACAGAAAAGCTAGAATCAGAAATCGTTTGGCATGGTGAAACCTTTGCTGTGTTGTCTTTTGTTTTTTCTTTTCGGTTGTTTGCTGCAGTTGGGTTGCTTTGCTGTTTTTGTTGTTGTAATTCTTTTCCTGGTAGCTATGTGATTATTCTTGACAGGGTGCTTTTTTCCTTTAGGCGGGTAGTGGGTTTGATCCCATAGGCAACCAGCTGCTTGATCTTACTTGGTTTTTCTCATCAGCTACACTGGATTTTTGTAATTAGTGAGCGCCGTCTAACTACCAATGTGGTAGTGTTTTGTAAAGCTATTGTGAAATGAATTCTTACTTGCCCTTAAAAAAAATAAAACAGTAAAGCTAGAATCAGAACTGAAATTATTTTTTTGGGAGTTAAAAGAAAGCATTGGTTTAAGTGAAGCATTAACCTTATTTAATTTATGTTATTTGGGTTTATTGCTCTACTTCTTGTTTATTACTTTGTGTCTTTTGTTACCCCTTTTTTTTTTTTTTAATTTTAAGGAAGTTACTAACGCAAGCAAAACACAAAAATAAAAGCAACTTAATTACTTTCTCAATTCTATATTGAATATTCACTTTTGACTTGATAGGAGAATTTAGAAAAACGTTTTGTTTTAAATGTATTTTATATTAATTTGGAATTCTTTTTATAACATTGATAACTATTTTTAATGTAAAAAAATTATTAAAAATTAATATAAAATACAGAAAAACTAAGAATGAATATGTGTTCCAAAAAAAAAGTGAATATAATTTTACAACAGATTAAAAAAGAAAAAGTAGATTTAATTTGAAAAAGAAAAGAAGTAAATTTAATATGCTTGGAGTTGTAACCAAACCATGTACTAGGAAAAGTAAGTAGTTGAACAAAATATTCAAGTTCCACTGCCCAAACTTGTACACGTAAAAAACATTTTAGTACTTCGGATAGCTTCATAGAGTGCGACTGACCTGATGAACAAAACAAAGCTCCATCCATCTGATAAGAACACCAGGCTGCAACTGTTTATACAGTCAAAAAACACCAGCCACCCATAGTTTTGTACAAGAATAAGATCTAATGTCCTATCGGTACAAATCATCAGATAAAAATATTCCAATGAGTAACGAAATTATATTGATAAACAGGGATACTTTTTTCCTCGAGCACAAATTAGCCATTGAATCTTACGTCACTTTCGATATCATGAATCACGCTGTGCAACTTGACAGCCCCTGACGATGAATCTGTCTCCATACTGTAGTATTAACCACACACTTGTAAAACTTGATCGGCTTAAGTGCCATAATTGTACTATTATACTAATGTTTGAAGAGATTTTATGATTGGGATTCTCTTTCTCGTACCAGGACAGGGAGTCCACCACTAAAAGTGGCGGTAAGCCCAGGAGAGAATCGTGGTGTCCGATGTGGTGCCACTAATTCGACTTGGAATCGCCGAACGAGTGAAAGTGCCACGCTTTTCAGCTCCACTAGAGCCATTTCTTTCCCCAAACACACCCTGAATCCGGCTTGGAAAACTGGATACTTGAAAGGGTTTTCAGGAGAGAAAACACCGTTTCTCAACCACCTTTCAGGCTTGAATTCCAAGCAATCTGGACCCCATATCTCTTCCATCCGTCCCATAGCGTAGGGATGGTAGGTAACCCTAGTTCCTCTCTTCAGAAAGGACCCGTCGGGTAGTGTATCGTCCTCTTGACAAAACTTTGAATCGAATTGAATAGGAGGGTAGAGTCTCATGCTCTCATACACTGCTGCTTGTAAATACTGGAGTTCTTTCATCTGTTCAAAGCTTGTCAGCTCCTGGTTTTGCCCAATAACTCGATCCGCCTCTTGTCTAATCGCTGACCCTACGTTTGGATGCTTTGCCAGTAGCCAGAACAAGCTTGTTAAACCTGATGCCACCGTGTCACGGCCAGCTAATAAAAAGCTTATAACAATATCTCTTAAGTAAGTTTCATCGTTTACGGTACACATGAAGCGGGAGAGAAGATCATTATGGGTTAAAAATCCCATTTTGCGCCTTTGCCTTATTACCTCTTTGGCTAAAATATTGATAATCTTGACAGCCTTCTTCAGTTGCTTCTCACTGCCTAAATTCAAAACCCGTTTGATCTTCCATAGAAGGGGGGAAGCAGTCATGGCTCTCTCAGCTGACAATTTGGAGGCTAAGTCAAAGGCCGTGGCGAATTTCGACATGGGTAGAGACAGCTCTAGGCATCTAGGGTCCAGCCCAAAAGAGAACCTGCATATGCTATCAAACGAAAACCTTCTAAACACGTCTTGTAAATCCAAAACCCGCTGTTCTTTGCCGGTTGCAACGGACGATAATAACGGGATAAGTCTGTTTATGATCTCACAGTTGATAATCTCAAAAGCATAAGATCTTATCGAGTGCTTCCCAAGCTCCAGGCATGCCATCTTCTTCTGAAACCTCCAGGAATCACCATCCACGTTGAATATGCCTCGACCAAGAAAGTCACCCAAGATCGTGGAGAAAGGTTTCCCTTTGGGGAAGTTGTCAAAATTTGTTTTCAGCATGTACTCAACGTTGTCAGGGTTGGCTGTGATTGTGTTGCCAAGAACATGAATATGGATAGTTTTGCCAGGCGAGTTCTTCAGCAGGTGAGTGTACCAATCACAAAGATTCTCAAATTGTTTTGACCAACTCGAGGAGAGATAAGCGCGGCAAATCTCACAGTTGCACCAGAGTTTTGGTCTGAGTAAACAAAACGAGAGAGAAAAAAGAGAAAGGATTGTAAAAGTGAAGATAAGAACGCAAAAAGAAGCATGAAGAACCTGAAAGAACCAGTAAGCTTCAGGTTCCATAGAAGAAGAATCAAAGTTAAAGTAAAAATGAAAAAACAAAGGGAAACAAAAGAGAGAGAGGAGATTAAGGCTAGAACGAAAAGAAAGAGAGAGAGAGAGAGAGCGGTGGGGGGACAAGAGGAAGCGAAATTGAAGGTCTTATGGATCAGATTCTGAAATTTTTTTGTAGTTAAAAACAGCTTTAAGGAGTGTAGTGCTCTAAGCTTCCCCACTTACGAAAAAAAATTAAAAAAAAGAAAAGAAAAAGGTGAAATTAAAAATAATTAATTAATATTGGAAAAACCCTCGTGCGCTAAAGAACAAAGTCAGTTACTAGAGGCATCTGCCACTGCCAGTACTTGTGCCGTCAACTAATGTAAATTGTGAATAATCATCCCACGTGCTTTTATTCTTATCCGTACCAACTGTTTTTTTTTTCTTTACCGGAGAAGAGAAATTGGTTTGTTGATTGTGCCCACTGCCCAAGTTTACACATCGAGGGACAGGCGAGCTTCCAGGAGGCCCAGTTGCCCTTTGCTTTCAGCCTACTAAATCTGCTTTTGCCTTGTTCGGCCGACAATAATTGATCTTGCTAAGGAAATGCACTAAAAAATCACTTCTACGAAATATATAATAATAATATTTAAATAAAATTTTAAATTATTTAAAAAACTTTAAGTAAATTTTTATTTTATATTTTATTAAATCAAGTTTTTATATTTTTTATTTTAAATTTAATAAACTCTTCTAAATAATGATTGACTAACTGTTATTAATTAAAATATTATGTATTATTTTATATTCATATGACACTGATATGATATTGATGTGAAAAATAAAAAAATATTACATGATTATGTTATCATGTCAAATTAACATATAACGTCATTATCAATTATGATATATTAGCATGTTACATTAACATATATTAACATTCTCGTCAATGTCATACGATATAAAATGATAAAAGACAATTTGATTAAGTCAATCACTAGTCATAATGATTTATTTGACTCAAAATAAAAGTATAAAGACTTATTTATCTCTAAATAAAAGTATAAATACTTGATTAAACGTAAATAAATATATAAAAATTTATTTAAATTTTTATAAATTGTTTAGGAGCTTTTTTAGATATTATGCCTATTTTTTTAAATTGCTGATATTTCAATTACTTGACGGCTCTTATTAATTAGCATTCATCTTGTGACTGCAAACTAGTTTTCTTATAGGGTTTTATTTTAGTACATATAGTATAGTTTGAAATAATGCAATATATAAAATTTAGTTTGAAATAGTTATTTTTTTTATTCAAATGCCTTAGTTTTTAAACTTCCCAAAATAGAAAGCAAAAGAAAAGAAACAATCAAGCATAGTTTAAAGAATTAAAAAGAGATCAACAAGAGAGATAAATTTGTTTGGTAATAAGAGTAGAGTAAATTTTTTTGTTAAAGTGACCATGTTTTAAGTTTGATGGTTGTGAAATGCTTATATAAGTAAAAGATGCCTTTGTACTTTTTGTAATGTAACAGAAAAGAATTTTGATGTCCTTTTATTGACATATGGAGATTTCTAGTAGGCAGTATAGCATTAGCAAATGACAGAATATAAACCTTATCATATGACATTTACAATGATGTAAACAAAAGGGCAGAAAGCTTTCGAAAATGTTGAAGGTGGAGAGGGAGATGATTGAGGGTAGAAAATAGAAATGAAAGGATAAGTGCAATAACTGACCCAAGAAAAAGACAAAAAAGATAGATAACCACGATTACATGGCGGCCGAGAAACGATTCCTTTGATTTGGTACATATATATACAACTCTGCCAAAAAGAGATATTTATTTATGTATTAAGTCCAATCAATTTTACTTGTAGCTGATCTCTTAAGCCAACTTAGCGAAAACCCTTGCGAATTACATCTCTCAATCATGACATTCATTTCGAATAAATTAGTCTTCTGTTCATACATAAAAATTTTAGATTATCTAATAATAAATAACAATTTTTATTACATTTTTAAATTTTAATCTCACTTATCTAAATTAAAATTTTAAATCCAAAATCAAACATAAGCCATTAAAATATTATCTGTCTATGATTAATTAATATCTTATCTCTGGGAGAATTCCCCATGTCCCTTTTGATAAAAAAGAAAAAGGAAAAAAGAATTCCCCATGTCCCCGTACGCCTAAAGCTTCCTGCAAGAAATTAAGAAGATTAATAACTGCATGTATAGCTAGCTAGGCTGAGCGAGATGAAGGTAATTAGCCTGAGCTTGAATCACGTGTTTAATTATTAGCCATAGTACATGGATTGAAATATAAATCAATAAAGCCGCTCTGCTACAGTACCGAGAGCTTAATTATATAACTAAAGTCTATCTATAGCTCATAATGTAGAGGCAATAAGTACCAGCAAATTAAATTATTGGCCATTAACACCGATAACGACGTAGATGATCAAACGTCTGGCATCGACCTGCTGAGAAACTTGAGTGATGACCATAATTACATTGGCATGTTGATATGCACCTGATTGCGGCATTTGCAGTTTTTACGAGTCAAATTTTTGTTCATTATCCTTTTGGTACAGGATCATCCACGTCTCCCCAGATTTCTATGGGCATTTCTTTCTCTATCTAGGAGATTAATTTCCCCAAACGCATGTTTAACTGCTTCATGACATATGCAGCAGGTTGACTTATATTTCAATATTTTTGCTTGTTTTCAATGTGGAATTAATAGAGCTTGGTTATGATTTTGGGTCATATTCCAGCAGATTTTGAATATGCTTTCAAGACTTTCAAGTCAGTAAATGGTTAAAATGCGATGAAAATTACCTATAATCACCATACATATTACCTATAATCACCATACATATTATAAAATTTTGAGATATACTTGAAGGAACCTCACATATTCTTTGGGAAATCACCATCTAAAAGATAAATATGATATATGTCGATGAAAATATCCATTGGTATTAAACAAATAAAGGTTCTGAACATTATAATATGAAATTTCTTTTATGTTCTAGTTCATATCAATATAGATGCAAGATGATAGTTAGAAGTATATGAAAACTTCTTTGATTTAGGTACTTAACAATAACTCTCATATATAGTAAATTTCACATTTCACTTTTCAATTTTTTTAGAGTCATAGTTTTTATTATTGTTTTTGGACTTTTTGAGATGACACGTACATAGTCATCTTATTTAAATACACTACGTTTTATCCTTTTAGTTTGTTAAATTAAAGATAATTAGGAGTTCTAATAAGTTCCCCAACTACCTGACAAAAGGGCTCTATATAAAGGCCTGAGATCTTTCACCAAAATTACAATTATGGTTAGCGAGAAAAATTAATATGAAAACCAAACGCTCCTGTCTTTAGAGAACTATTACTTTCCTCCATTATTAGGTTAAGGTTCTTGTGCTGTGAATAATGTGCAAGTTTTTTGAAATCAATAGACTCGTAAATGTCCATAATTAAGATCTTAGAGACTCGACTTTGCATTAATCTTGACAAAAAAAAGAGAAGAGACTAGTACATATATATATATATATATATATATATGATTAGAGTAAAATTAATTTGTAATTTTTTTTAGTCCGGATGCGTTTTCCTACATTAGTATCAAAGCCCACTTGAGTGTTTTCTTGCTGTTATGGTCTCTTAAAAACATAATTAACATGCTAAAAATCATTAATTATGCTTTATTTTGCAATTATCTCATTTTGAAGTTTTTATGACATGTTAATAATAATTAAAAAAGGTATGTTTTAAGGTCTGATTTTTTCGTCATATAATGTTTATATATGGTTAATAAAAATTGAGTTTCATGTGAAGACAAAAATATGGAGAAAATAAAAAACCTAATTGTTTGATCCTAAAATATGACTGAATTTTCTCTTTGTTTTGATTTTTTTTCCATGATTTTTATACCAATAGAATCCTTGCATGATAAGCTCTTCATTGGTACTTATTTAAGTCTTTTCAATTTGCATGTTGGGAAAATTTACTAAAAAAAATTGGAGACTGGAATGAAAAAAAAAAAAGAGATTAAAAATAAAGTGCTGGCTAGAACACTACCTGCTCTCAGTTACGCACGTGCGACTCGTCCCAAAGTTCGATTATTGTGTCAACCAGCAATAATAGACTCCTCTAGCCAAGGCCAACCTATTCATGTCAAAACTGTGATAAAATATTATCGGGGAAAAGGGAGTGTGCCTTGCATGCATTGCCTCAAGAGAGTGTTTTTCTTTTTTTTCCTTTTTTTTTTTCAGGTTGAAAACAAGAGCCTAATCGTGCTTAGATGATTTGTGGGAGCATGTGATGACAATTTGGAAGCGCGTTTTTGACACTATTTGCCACCTAAAATTCGAAAGTGATGTTTCTCATTATTTTTTTATGGTTTTCTCATAATTTTAATATTTCTCGAAAATATGACTTAAAATTAAGTTATCTCGAAAAATTAAAACAATAAATTATTAACTTATCTTAATGTGTTTCATTAATTGATTCGAGATACTCAATCTGATTTTATCAAATTAGATTGGGCCACACGAGGCATTATTTATATTTTTAAAGGGTTGATGTCTTTATACAAACTATGGTAAGTTCTTAGTATACAGCTTCACAAATTCAAGTGTAGTTAGGGATCACACAATCCATCAACTAGTATGAACTTTGCAATGGGATCGTTTAAGAGAGTGATGGGATGACTTCACCATCATGTGTGAGTGGGAGATGTTGAACTTTTTAAGATAGCACCCATGATGATTACCCTATTTAGATAGGACTATGCTTTATCCTTTTATCTTGGTAAATTAAAGATTATTGTATGATAATTATATAGAGTTTTAAATTTACTAAACTAATTGATAAAAGGGGTCTATAAAAAGCTTGAGGCCTTTCACCAAAATTACAATTAGTGAGAAAAATTAAGGGAAAAACCAAACACTCTTTCGTCTAGAAAACTGTTATTCTCACTTCGTTGTGAGGTTAAGGCTCTTATACTATGAATAGTGTGGTTACTGTTATTTTTCCTATAGTAGTTTCTCACCATGAGTTTTTTTGGAAAATCAATAGACACATTAAAGGTATTTAAATAAGATCCTAGAGTTATATTATATTAGTGTTTAAAAA